CCCCAAAACCCCAAAACCCCAAAACCACAAATCAATATTAAAATAAAATTAGGCAATGAAAAAATTATCAATCAATAAAAAAAATCATATTATATGTATAGTATTTATAATAATTGAGTAGTTTCAAAAGCATAGTGAGAAAGTTTGCAAATCATTCTAAGGCAGAATATCTTTGTAGCTAGAAATGGAACTCCATTTATTGTTCTTTAACTCAAAAACTTCACATTAATCTCCAATCGTGCCACCAAGAGCATAAATTTATTGACCTATAGGTGTGTGCAGCATCGGCAATGTGGAATATAGTGTTCTCTTTCCAATCATTTTATTCTGCTTAACCCATTTAGCTTAGGTTGTGGACGTATCTAAACGGTATACACTATTTACATATTGATATGACATTTCTGTGTCTCCAAATATCCCACCAGCAATCAGAATTGAATTTCGATCTAAAGCAACTGCTCCCAGTTTAGCTATCTTAAGAGGGAGCTTTACATAGAGTAACGACCATTTATCAAGCATTGTGTTGTATTGCTCGATTGTGTTCGTCGTTTCATAGCCATTAAGTCCTCCAAAAATATAAATGGACTCATTGTTAAATGGACAGCACCCTGCATAGGCTCTTGGCATTATCAGTTCAGCACAGTAAGACCAAGTATTATCAGCTGGAGTGTATTTCTCGCAACTTTGTAAGGTGATGGGTGCCACTCCTGGATTATCATCGTGACTGAACCCACCTATCGCATAAATATAGCCATTCAAATACAACTGCGAGTGCCCATATCTAGCTTCCATCAGATTCTACATTCTAATGAATTTATAAGCGCCATCCTCTGTGTTAATTTTAAATGCCTTATTTGACGCCTTTTGAGACATGACTGAGCATCCTCCAGAGAGTATGATATCACATGTTTTAGCTATACGGCAAGATGAAGTATACTTGAAATCTCCCTTAAAAGCTGACTGATGATTGTAAGAGATTGCAGACCAGATGTTCTTTTGAAAATCATACCTTAAAAGCTTTTCATAGTCTCCAAAGCAGTGAATAACATGAGGTCTATAATTTCTATAAACTGGAAGTTATGAACTACTTTCTTGCTGGTGCCTTCTATGAGAATTCGCTCTTTTAACTTCTTCATATTCATTCGCTCTTGCACTCATTAATGGTGAAGGTATCCTTATATTCTGTGGAATTACAGAGAGGTTATTTATTTTAGCTGGTGATATTTCCCTCTATGCTAAGTAAGGTCTTATAAATTATGTTTAGGGGCGAGGATGGATGTTTAGTGTCTGGTTTATGTCCATTGAATCCTCAATTATTGTTGATGACAACTGATTTCTATCCATTGAATGCACTCTTGGACCCTCTTTGTTTTTAAATTCCTCATTGAGTATTTAATTGGCTTGCCTTAGGTTTTAAGCAAGGTCGTGATTATGAGTTGATGAATAGTTTCTATTTGGGGACTGATTTATGTGACCTAGTTCATTGTTCATCTCGTATTCTTTTTGAGTGTTTAACTGATGAAATTTATTTTATGTCGCATTAAGACTTTGCTAGCTTTGATAGTTATTTGTGTTCAGAGGTGGTTTGTTTTGGGCAGCTCGAATTTCATCAGAATGCAAATTGCCATAGGGGTCAATCTTCAAGCTATTCACCTATAGAAATATAAAATTTTAATTAGGTACAAGTTTTAACATTGAGTCAGTATTGATAGTCATTGGCTTTACACTAGGACTTATAAGTACATCGTTCTTGCTCATTTCTATATATATATAATTATAGCTTATTTTTACCTTAAGCATTAAAAATTCTTTTGAGTTCAAAAGAGCTTTTCTCTATGTACTGTATTACATCTTTCATCTATGAGAGTAGTTGAATCTAGTTCTTGCTTTGAATTATACCCTTTATATCTTTGTAAATGCTTTCAACCTTGACCAAATTCTCTTCATACTTTTAAAGCGGCCTTAGTTTATCTTCTAGCTTACCCTGTTCTCTTTCATATAAATGATTGTACTGCATTTTTACAGCATCTCTCTTGGCTTCCAGTCTCTTTACAATTTCAGTGAAAGCTCTGTTGATGTTCTAGACCTGAGTATCCTTAAGCTTGTCAACTTCTTCTTTAAGTTAAATCAGCAGCTAGGTGTTCTGCTTGTTGATTTTCTTAGTCATCATGAGAAGATTCTCAAAATCCTGGATAGTTTACTTCAAATAAGTATGAGCCTCCTCAAGTTATGAGAGAAAGTGGCCATTATGCTCATGAAACATGCATCTGATGCAGACTGTAATATGACAGTCACGACAGAAATACTCCACATATTTGTCAGGATGCTTTATACACAGATAAGAAGTTTCAGAAGTAATTTACTCAGGTGGGGTTGGGATCTCCTCTGCTATAATTCAATCTATATTGTTGTCATAAGTCTTAATTAGAGCGAGACTTGATTGGGGATAGTTCATTTAAACTGTGGTATTATTGCTTGGCTGATTATTTTACTGCATCAAATTTACAGGGCCAATGACTGTTGAAGTTGAGTCTTATCTTTTACTAAGCCTTGATAGAACTTTATTATTCGATGGAGTTTAGTGAATCATCTAACTTGTAAAGTCAACTGTTCCTATATTTCCATTATTCTGAATACTAGTAGTTGTATGATTAGTAGGTTAAGTCTAGAATCTATTGAGCCTGGCTTGCTAAACGTGATGGTTTTTGTGAGACTGATAGTTATGGACTGGCTATTCAATGATTGCATTCTGTTACAGAATAATATTACTACTCTGTTTTATTTGCTGATTCAAGCATAGACTGCACATTCCTTTTTCTATATTAAGAAATCAGAGTATAACATGCTCATACCTTTAAATTTATTAGCACACTCACCACATACTAGATGATTGCAGTTTGCTAGTACATATGGGAATTAATTGACTCTGTTGAAAGACATGCTGCAGCCTGAGCACTTACCCTCATATTCATTCATATTGTGAGAAGATTAACTATCGAATTTATCCATTCTAATTATATATATTTCTATTCAAATATACATGCATTCCGCATTCTCGGGGTTTTGGGGTTTTGGGGTTTTGGGG